GAATACTGGTGATGATCACATAAAACAGTTACTGAACGGAATACTGGTGATGATCACATAAAACAGATACTGAACAGAGTACTGGTGATGATCACATAAAACAGTTACTGAACAGAGTTCTGGTGATGATCACATAAACAGTTACTGAACAGAGTTCTGGTGATGATCATATAAACAGTTACTGAACGGAATACTGGTGATGATCACATAAAACAGTTACTGAACAGAGTACTGGTGATGATCACATAAACAGTTACTGAACGGAATACTGGTGATGATCACATAAACAGTTACTGAACAGAGTACTGGTGATGATCCCATAAAACAGGTACTGAACAGAGTACTGGTGATGATCCCTTAAAACAGTTACTGAACAGAGTACTAGTGATGATCATATAAAACAGTTACTGAACAGAGTACTGGTGATGATCATATAAAACAGTTACTGAACAGAGTACTGGTGATGATCACATAAACAGTTACTGAACGGAATACTGGTGATGATCACATAAAACAGTTACTGAATGGAATACTGGTGATGATCACATAAACAGTTACTGAACGGAATACTGGTGATGATCCCATAAAACAGTTATTGAACAGAGTACTGGTGATGATCACATAAACAGTTACTGAACAGAGTACTGGTGATGATCACAAAAACAGATGCAGAAAACAGATACTGAACAGAGTACTGGTGATGATCCCACAAAACAGTTATTGAACAGAGTACTGGTGATGATCCCATAAAACAGTTACTGAACAGAATACTGGTGATGATCCCATAAAACAGTTACTGAACAGAGTACTGGTGATGATCCCATAAACAGTTACTGAACAGAGTACTGGTGATGATCCCATAAAACAGTTACTGAACAGAGTACTGGTGATGATCCCATAAAACAGTTACTCAACAGAGTACTGGTGATGATCCCATAAAACAGTTACTCAACAGAGTACTGGTGATGATCCCTTAAAACAGTTACTGAACAGAGTACTGGTGATGATCCCATAAAACAGTTACTGAACAGAGTTCTGGTGATGATCACATAAACAGTTACTGAACGGAACACTGGTGATGATCCCATAAAACAGTTACTGAACAGAGTACTGGTGATGATCACATAAACCAGATACTGAACAGAGTACTGGTGATGATCCCATAAAACAGTTACTGAACAGAGTACTGGTGATGATCCCATAAAACAGATACTGAACAGAGTACTGGTGATGATCCCATAAAACAGTTACTGAACAGAGTA